TATTTGTATTACACCAGACTCGACCGAGAATAAGAATAAGAATCTTCATCGTAAAGATGAACATTTGAAATCGACACTTTTGTCTCTGACGTCATTGTCAGAGTGACTAAGTTCAACGAAGCGAAACAGCGAAATGCATTGAAAATACATTCGTCTCCTTGCGAGTCCCGACAAATACAACTTTTTGAAAATGTTGTCGTAAATCTCAAGTTTTCATTTGTTATTTGTAATCGTTGATGCTCGAAGGAGTGAACCACACTTGCAGCGAAGAAGGACGGCATGAATTGAGCTCAAACGTAAACCGCAATAATGTAAAGTTTACAGAGAGGAAAACGTATCATTTTCCTAATTTCTTCCTCACTGACCGGTATTTCTCTTAATAAAGCGCAATAGATTATTAGTAAAAAAAAAAAAAAAAAAAAAAAAAAAAAAAAAAAAGCGAAATAATTTCGTTGCAAGAACAATAAAGAGAAATCATTAAAGAATAAAATGCTTACTCTTGCAAAGCATGTTACGTTAAACGTGCTATATTCGCAGTTGGGCAGGCATTAAAAGATTCGATCTCAGCTGAATATGAAAATGTTCCTCTTGCATCTCTTTGAATATTCTCGACTATCATACCAATCCGTTATATTATTTCTTCACATTCTCCTCATTCCATGCTTATCTGCCGCAAAAATGCTGTTGTGGTACATGATCTTAAACATGTTTATAGCCGATAGTTATGCATGCGTGTTCATCACATATCTATGCATATATAATATATATGTGTATACTTGGAAGAGAAAAAAATATAAAATATAGAAATAAATAAACAAAAGAGCCGTTAAACTTACAACAACATTATCAATTACAATAGAATGAACATGTAAGGCTTTGTGGTTTCCTTAAATGTTGATGACGACGACGACGTCGTTGTACGGCGACGTCAGTTTTCATTTTGTGTTTAGAAACAAAAAGACTGTTAAACCATGAAAATTATGGTCTCGATATTTTGTAAATCATAATATGATAAAACGAGTAATATCATTACAATCGGTCAAAGCCGACTATTAGACACCCTACATGACTACGCTTAATAAATATCAATGTACATATCAAATATTTTACTAATTTCCACTTGCTTCCATCATAAAAAATTATTAGTCAGACCTTATCGCCACAGAAGTGTTTACTTTTCATGAGGGCCCCTTTATATGGTTGGACCTAAGTAAAACACTTACTTGATCCAAATTTTATATCAAATTATTCTTACGAATCAATTTTCATCATAGAAAATTGGATAATGGATAAGACTTATTTTTCGGGATCGAGAAAATAGACCTATAGACATGCCTACGTTGTCCAAATTCGATGAGAATGTTGTTTATGTCAAGTTATTATTGCGCGCGAATTTTCATGAACAAATATCGATTATTATCGATTATTATTAGCACTTTTAGGTGCCTAAAAAAATTGCTTGATCTGATCTTAATTTTTCATATCAATTTCGAATGCCAAAATATTAATACTCAGCGATTTTTGTCCCGAAGTTTTGAAAATTAGAATAATTTTTCATATAACAGCTACCGCAAATAAGGCTTTACATGAGGTGTGATCGAACCATTCTCAATATCGTATGTGCTTAGGGTTAAGCACGTTAGTAGTTAGGCTAAAATTTTATTAAAATATCTCAAAAATTGCAGCTTGCAGATTGAATATATGAAAAGAAGATAGACAGGCAGACAGGCGGACAGAGAGACAGACAGGCAAGCTTACATCGGTATAATAAAAGATGGGTCTATCTCATCTCCTTCTAGGTGTTACACACTTCCGCACAAACTTAACACACTCGGGACGGCAAATTGTGTAGGCCATAGTGAAAAAAAAAAAAAAATGAAAGAAAAAAAGACACGATATCACATCTAAACGAATAGACAAAAAGTATGTTGATACGGTCATACTTTTGAAGACGTATCGAAACGTACAAAGAATGCAGAGCATTCCACCAATAAGTCATTATTTCAAGTGTTTGTATAATAGGATTTTCGAAAATTCTCTCTGTGAACAGAAGAAATCTTACAGAATTGAAACAGTAAGAGCTGTTTTTCCTTTCCTTCCTTCCTTCCTTTTACTCTGATAAGTTCAACAGAAGCATCTTAATAGAGAACTCGTTATTTAGTTAAGGACATCTAAACTCTTCGATATAAATTTGTAAATACATTTTTTATTTTTTTAAAATATATATTCAATTTTATATCATGGAAAAAAAACTGTGTTTGCAAGTGGAACGGAATGTACTTTGACTTTAAAAAAGAACTTATGAGGTATTGGTGTGAAGAAGAGAAGAAACCATGGAGATACTGAAGAAACAAACAGAATCAGAAACATCTGTACGTTCTATTTTCAATATTTTTTCAGTTGACTTATCTATATAGAAATGAGTAAAAACACTATTATAGCACACGATCTATCATTGCATACAGGTACAGTTAACCCTCCGAAGTTATAAATTGTTATACGGTATCATTAAGAATTTTTCAAAATGAGGCATTATTTGAGAAATGATCGAGAAAGCGATCCAATTCGAATCATTTTCAATAGAATGCGTTCTTGCGTCAGAGCATATGTCAATGTATCAAATATTATCAAAATATTTTCAAAAATTGCAGCCTCTAAGATGAACACAAGAAAAAGACGAATGGGCGAACAGACAAACTGCTTCTGAATCGAGCGCTATAATAAAAAAAAAACGGTGGGTCTAATATATCCCTTTGCCGCGAGTGGCTGTAGGGCGTAATGACCTAATCATTGAATTTTTAATAAAACATTTAAGTGAAACATTAACTGTTACACACATACGCATTAACGAAAGCCTGCTAAACTAGAACAGGTGCAAACAAGGAAAACTCAAATCTGGAAAGAAAAAAACTCAGTGACTCTACGACACTACGTGGTCAATAATAGAAGCAATCGTCCTAATTGATCCAATAAAATAGAGTATTGAAATTTCATTTGTTTTTTTTTTTTTTTATTTTTGAATTTTATTCAAGGATTCAGTCATCACCGGTCGACCGAATGTAATTTTCTTACTTGTTTACTATTCTTTTTGTTTTTTTATATTTCCGCTAAATTAAGCGCCCTCTATTATCGAAACTGTTAAATAATAATAAATATTTCACAGTTCGGCTGTTACTGTCAGAATTACAGTTTTAACATTAACAGAAACCTTAACAGCGATCATTTAATATTTACTACTTCTCTCTCTCTCTCCCTCTCTCTATCTGTCTCCCTTGAATTACGGATCGAAAGCTTGTTGTATGGTATAGTAATTCTACTTCGGTTTAAATATTTTCGTTCGTCAATTACCGGTCTCTTCATTTTTAATACCAAAAAAATGGTGTAGAGAGAGAGAGAGAAAGAGAGAGAAATAGCGAAAATGAAAATTAATATCAAAGAGATATAAGTTCTCTCCTATTTTTATTTCACAATTTAACAACATATATATTTATATACATATACAAATTCGCATCTATCGAAACTATTAGTCATTCAAGTTAGTGACGGTTTTTTTTTTTCTTTCTAATAACGTTTTGCGTAAATATGGCTTTAATTAATTATATGTTATTAACTGGTTTTGAAACCTCCTCTTCTAGGTCTCTATATGAATGTATATGTACATACACTAAGATACACGTTATTGCGTGTTTTATTGTTATTTATTGACTGAAAATTATTATACCTACTAATGCAAAGGTATTATAAGTTTTTTATCCAAGTTTTCACAAAGCATACACATACATACATATATGTATGTTTTTGTTTTTGTTTTTTTTCTGATTAGCATGGACTAACGAAATGAATTCAGCGACATGGATTTCTGATTGAGTCTATCTGCCAAAAATTCGGATAACTTCGGATAAATTGTGAATTCATATTTACCTCTCACCTTTCCTTCGCTTCATTGATTTGTTGATTGATATGGATTGTTATGATTAGCGAAAATTTAAAAGTTTTATATTTACCTCATAAGCATTAGGACTACGACTGTTAGATCATTGTTGAGAGTACATTATTAGATATTTGTGTTCGTCCGTCCGTCCGTCTGTACGTTTTGTTAAAATCATATTATTTCGAGTACAACTTTGAAGACTATCATAAATTCGATCGCATAAAATTAATAGAAAATTGATCGATTTTGCTTCTTTTTTTTTATGCATAATGACCTTAACAGTTTGCTCATATTGTTGAGCTTAATTCCGCTGTAAGTTTGTAAATAGTTTAAGTCAATCCAAGAGCTCGCTCATATTTATCAAAAATCCATATATAAATAAAATGAATTATATTTGTTTCTTCTTCTTCTTCTTCTTCCTTTTTTTAGTTATAAGAGTTGCTGCTAATTCGCTGTTTAGAGTATTTATTTATTACCATCTCCAAGGTATAACAGTTTTTAATAGATTTTGTAACAATATTCGATCAGTCGGTTCTTCGGTTATTTTCGGTTTATTTTCCAATCTATAAGACAATTAACATATATACATATATATATATTTATATATATATATATATATGGAGCGGATGCATACGCTATCAAAGCATGTTACGTTTATACTAAAGTGTTCATAAGAGAGTAACCGAATAATAGGTATTCATCGATTCGTTCTAAGCTGCGTATCATTTTTGTTGATTTTCTTGTTTGTTTTTTTTTTTTTTTTTATGTACGGTTTTATAACTAGTATGAGACCTTCCTCACGAGAGCCAGTTTTTATTTTTGAATACTTTAAAGGTCCACAACAAAGTTATATATGTATGAGAGTTTGTTTGTATGTATGCGAGGCATGCAATGCATAGTCAGCACTGAGTTTAATTTTAGTTCATTTATACGTTTTGTTTAAAGTTGTTGGTTAACGGCGTGTTGACTGACGATTTTTTTTTTTTTTTTTGTTTTGCTTTTATTAACGATCGGTTCGGTGTTACAACTCTCCTTTTCTTTTTCTTTTTTTCGTATATGTATAAAAATATATTTATGTGTGCATGCGTGTTTGTATGTGGTGTGCGTGTGCGCGATATATATTCATATATCGCTGTACAAGTGTGCATACGTTTTTTCTTGCGGTGTTGTTTTCTATATAAAAATTGAAATTTCATGAAATAATCTTAAGGAAATTTTAAATAAATTACGGACAACGAGGTTTTATTCATTCAAGTACCATTAAAATGTCATTTTTATTAAAGGTTTCAATGCAATGCTTGCTTATGTGTGCTAATGCTGTCTGTTATGCATTTACTTTAATTAGTTAATTGATGCCTTTTGAGCGAAAGAGATAACGAAACTTAACGAGAAACGCATAAAATCACTGTGCAAGCAGCGACTTCGACTTGGATTGAAAATATATATATACAAAAAAAAAAAGTATTATTAAAAAATTTCCTCTCTTAACTTTCAATTCGTTTAAACTAATGATGGATTTTTTTTTTTTTTTTTTAACTTCATGTCGAAACAAATTGTGAAATTTTTTTTTTTTGTTCTTTTTAATGAACTTCTCTACGAAGTTTAGTGAAATTTTTCATTATTTTCTCTCTTACTCCTTTCTACTAAAAAAAAAAAAAAAAAAAAAACAAACAAACAAACAACCAAACCAAGCAATATAAAAAAAAAAAAGAAACCAGATAAACATACATACACAAATGCAAAAGCATTTTCTATGTGTAACAATAAAGATAAATCAAATAACAGCAACAGTAGAAAATGAATAACAACAACAACAAGTTTATGAGAAATTCAACAGATGACATCCGTGCAAACATGTTTATCGCATTTATAGTGTATGTGTATGTTTGTGTGTGCGTGTGCACGCATGTATACGGATTCGTGTGTTTTCACAGCAGATTCTCTCTTTTCAAGTAATACACGCACACACACATGCACACACACACACACGTGCGCACACGCACACACATATACAAAACAAACTGAGTAATCATCATGATTTTCTCTAACAATTCTTGCTGTAAATACACAGACTCTATTTTAACATATAAAGAGAGAATTTCTTTTTTTTTTGACTATAAAATTGTTAAGTGTTCGTCGTCTTTTTGTTGATACATTTATTTGCTTTCATTTACTTGAGCACAAATTAAAACAATAATATGCGATAAATAAATAAGTAAAAAATCTGCTTAATTTGCTTAAAAAAAGTAAAATGAACGTTTTCATTTCACTCTCACCACCTATAATAAGCCATTCCACCCATATTTGCAAGATCCAGAAATGCTTTTCTTCTTCTTCTACTTCTTGTTATTACTATTATTATTAAATTGTAAGATTGAAGTCTTAAAGCACAGGCGCATCGAAGGCTATCGGTTTTTTCAGAACCCTAAAAAAAAAAATCCTACATACGTATGTATGTATATATTTAATTTAATTTGAAATGAAAATATTGCTCTTGAAATTTAAGAGATTTTTTATTGAACGCGGTCCCCATCAAATTCTTATTTTCTGGATATGTGCATGTGGCATGTTGCGCCGTTTCATTTCGAACTGATATTTTAAGATATAAACGTCTTGCAAACCTTTCTGGACTTGCAGGCGAGTTGATTGCTCAGAGCTGTTAAAATGTTGTCCTACTTGACAAGATAATAATCTGCATCGATAGTAACTATCACGTCGTGGCTTATATTAAAAGGGAGTCCTTTTAAGATGAATTTGTGAATCTCTCTCGTTGTTTCATCCCAAAAAAGTACTGAGTTTCTGTACTTCCTAAAGTTTCCTGTTCTTAGAAAGTCAGTCGATAAATTCAAATCATCAGCGACGCATTTCGCGCATGCAACTTAAATACGTTCTTTACACTCTTGTACACATTTGCCTTGTTAGCACAGGACGTAAAATGTTGTGCACACATGGATTCCAATTTATGCGTAAGAGATTTTTTTTTTTTTTTTTTGTCTAAACCAGGAGTTGGCAGCTTTTTTCATCAACGGGCCAAATTTAATTTTCATATCACAACAGCGGTCGGATTATACGCTATATCCGAGTAAATTGAATTATTTAAAATTTTGAACGTAGGCCGCGGCTTGTCTATGCCTGATCTGAATGTTTCCCCCGATCTTCAACTAACGCTAGCAAACATAATTTTGAAAAAATTTTGAAAATTTTTACGCGCTATAATCGAGTAACATAAATATCATTATCTAGCCGTAGCAAAAAGCAAACGAAAGTGTCTTCAAAAAAATCTTGTTATTATTTCTATTTTTTTGTTCGACTATAGCGGCAAGTAGTGACAACAACAAATAGAATATTTAATTTATTCATATTATCAATAACTTCAAGTCATAGCCATAAATTGATCTTAAAATTTCCCCCAATCTGGGCTCTTCTCTCTCGTCTTGTATGCTAAGCCCTAATATTCGTTGCATTCTTGCCATTTATTTGAGCTAACTATCGTTGTGAAACTTAATTCGTCTTATAAAAGGCTTCCGAAAAACATAGATAAAAGCATTGAGGCGAATTGGAAAAAGAATCTAAAACAATTTGGATTAATTAACTTATAGGTCTGCTTACGACTATTAAGATGAATATACCATAAGAGAATGAATATGTACTTCTAACTTCAACATAGTTTAATGCAAAATATCTGTAGCTTAGTGTATTTTTAAGTGTCTTAAACTCACACCAAATGGACTTATGGCCAGTATACTCACTAATATATTAAGTTTATAACTTTTACTATGCATTACAATTTTTTTTTTATATTTACTACGGCAGGTACATATACCTAATCCTTTTTTTGCGCGATAGATACGTTCCCAAAAAATTCGTGTAAAAAAAGATATTTGCTAAATGGAATATATACAGCAAAACAATATTAAAAAAATTCTTGTTAGAGTTCACTAAAGAATTTATTTCGTGCTTACACATTTTAATTCATTAAATTCGTGTAAAAAGAGAATTATTTATTAAAATTAAGCGAATTTTAATCAAAATTTATATATATAGATATATTTATATATTTATTTATTTTTTTTTTTTTGATATTACCAATCGCTCAAGAGATGTTGTCTCCTATTCGCTGATTTAATGGTTAGAAAGAAGTGAGGAAGGTGATAGGGAATTGTGCCGAATCGGAAAGCTTTACGTCCTTAGTGACTATGAACACTCATTATAGCTGCCGCTCTTATCGATTCGGCTACTCAGGGGGATATAGATTGGCATACAGGCTTTAATCGATAAGAATAAGAATATGGATTTAACAGCAAAAAAAAAAAAAGGATTGACATTCCTATAAAAATTTAAAAAAAAAACTAATTTATTTTACTTTGTTATTTGCCATTATACAAAAATATTTATAATTGCAATTCAATATACATATGTTTGAAATTGAACCCCCTCATTTGAAAATGTTAAGATTACCAAGGAAAGTATTTTTTATATTTTCTTTCCTTTTCGGAAAATGACATTTGAACAATTGTTTTATGTAATCACTTGTGGGTTATTTTTTTATTCTAGAAAAACACTCTGCATCATCTATTGATCTGAATGATTGACTGATATATGCAAATTAGATAGCAGTTGTTTTTTTTCTAATTACCGGTCTGTTTTTTTTTTTTTTTTTTTTTTTTTTTTTTTTTTTTTTTTTTTTTTATCTCAAAAATGTAAAATGTCGTCATCACTATAGAGCATTGATGGGAATCTTTATAACTGTTTTGAAATATCTCGAGATTTATATGAATTTTTTTGTAAATACACGCGTTATTTTTCAATAAATGACATATTTGTTACGTATGTTACGTTATTCCTATGTGTACGAGATGTTCACACGCTTAGTTAACATGTTGCGTTTCCAGCATTCTCGTATATTTTTTATATTAAAATATTGTTTCAATCGAAATGTATTTAAGTAAATACATTTTTTCTTAAAGGTTTAGATATACGATTTGCCAACGATACGATACGTTGTTGTCTAATCGCGAGTCATTAAACTTTTATAAAGAGAACAAAGATTGTTACAAGGATCGTTACAGTACTTTCTCTCTCTTTCTCTCTCTCAATTTCCAAAAGTCCCATTGGCTTGATATAAATTCTCCTTAAGAGATTTATTAGCACAACGTTCATCTCCCATGCATTTCTGTGAAAACCAAAAATTACAAAATTACAAAAAAAAAAAAAATTAAACGTAAATCTACATATGGATGTATGTATGAAAGCAAAAATTCTAGCAAAGAACAGATTTCATGGTTAACTCTATAATTTTTACATAGCTTTCTTCTCTTTCTTCTTCATACTTGTAAGCGTTGTCTGCAGATACGCTTGTGTGCGTGTGTTTGTATGCATTCATATACGTTTGCGAAAAATCAAAAGTAAACATATATCTGATGATATTCACGTAGAGAATTGCAAAATGTTTGTTTATCAAATGATTTATGAAAGCATATACATATGTATATATATATATATATATATATATATATATAT